TCTTATGCCGGAGCCCCTCCAGGGGTTTCATTAGCGCGCGGCTGTATGTACGCGGGGCCCCTAAATGAATATTTACCGCGTCGCTTTAGATGAGAAAATCGCTCGTCATTCGGCTGCGAGGCCGGGTCTCCTCTTTAAATGCCCATTTTGAGATTCTCAGGTTTCCTGCTTAAGCCTTAAACTGGACCTAACGTCAGATTATTTTTTTAAAGTGATGTGTCAGCGCAGCACTTCCAGGTATTTATTACCTCTCACAGATCGCAGCACCGCCCCTGACAATGCCTTTAACTGACTTTCTTTACAGAAGGACAGCACCGTCTTCGCTCAGGCATCATCCAGGGTCATTGTCCACTTCCTGGACTGAGATATCGACTCAGGGATGACACAATCACGGAAATGCCTCATCTGTGTACACAAATGTCTGACACAGATCAGCCCCTGCTGCAGCCTCCCACCTTGTGACTTGTTACAAAGTTGCAGTCATGATCCCCGGGGGGAGGGGGAGACTGAGGGAGGAAATTAATTAAAGGGGATCCAAACCCAAGAATAAAACATATAATATGTTGCAGCTTATTATTCCTTAGATGTGGCGGCTGCGTTAGTTTTCTTATTTCAGGCTAGGAACATTCTCAGCAGTTACTGAAAATACCTGTTGATCCTGCCAGAAATGGCGTGTCCTCGTCACTTGCTGTGAGTTGAACTGAAATAGGTTACAATAGGGGATCAATATGATTATTGATCCGCTATGGCAGGGGTGTGCTACTCCGACCCTCCAGCTGTGCTTCACTACACATGCCACCACGCTTCTGCCTCTGGGAGTCACGCCTGTGTCTCAGTGGCGTCACAAGGGGGGTGCGCGGGGGTGCTTTCAGAGTCTTGCAATGCCTCATGGGACTTGTAGTTCCACAATAGCCGGAGTGCCAGAGTTGCCCACCCCCCGCTCTATGGCAGGCAAGAAATGTTGAGTTGTGCTGGGAGCGGCAGATCAGATTATTATTTTGCGTCTCCTCGGGCCCCGCGCTCCGAATTTCCGTGCGCTAATTGCCGTCGCCGGCGCTCAGTCGATGACTCTGGAAAATAAGACTTTGCAGAAACTTCTGATTGACTTTGTTATGTTTTCCGTCCTCCTCGCAGATGTACAAATGTTTACATAAAGTTTTAATGTTCACGCTGTGTTCGCAGCGGCCAGCACGTGTACGCATATCTAAACCGCCACCTGGACCAGATGAGGGCGTCCCGGCCAGAGAGGATTCTGGGAGCCGACCTACACGTGTGGCCAGACTTTCATGGGAACAGGTCACCCCTCGCTGACGTCACCCTGAAGGGGATGGTAAGGAAGCAGCTGTAACATTGGGACATGTTTGTTACCTGAGGTCATTGCCAGGGATGGTCCCCTGGGTTATATGGAGCCCGCTTTACAAATGGCAT